CTATTCGTACTATTCGTCGACTATTCGCGGACTATTCGTACTATTCGTCGACTATTCGCGGACTATTCGTACTATTCGTCGACTATTCGCACTATTTGCACTATTCGCTTCACTATTCTAGTTTTATCAATTACCGCAGTCTAGTGACTATAGTTGACTATAAAAACTTTTGTTTGCGTTAACTTTTAACGAGCTTGCTGTTAGCTAATACGGCAAGGGCGCTGCGTGCGAAAAGTTAAACGCAGTCGGGGTCGGGATGTGTTTTGTTTGACTTAGCATTGTTTTTTCTTAAAATTTTTTAAACTTTTTTTTCCGACTTTTCTAACTCTCAAAAGGTTAGGGTTAGGGGTTAGGGGTTAGAAAAGGGTTTAGGGTTGGGGATAGGTTTATCTTATAAAAATTCAACTTTAACAATAGTCACTAGACTGCCGGCCATTTAGTATTTGATAAACCGTGACCGGCTGCCGGTCATATAGTCACTTCGTTGTTTGAAACATTTTGCCCACTCCACGAAAGGCCCCGCCATTTTGAAAAGGATCAAGCAGCTCATTAATATTCTATTTTGTGGCTATCAACCAGCCTAGACCTAGGCCTTCTAGTCTTATTTATATATTTTTAATATTCAGCGCTTTTTCACATGAAAAGACTGGGACTAGGTGATTTGGGGGCGGGGCGGAGGAGCCAAGCCTAGAAGGCCTAGTGGATTTCCCAACAACAAGGCCAACACTGCCCTGAAACTGTCCTGGTTGCGAAATGCCCAATTATTGCGTTCTCAAACAGAATTATTTGCAACTTAACGGCGAATTTAAACCGATACAGGTAAAATAAACTCATTTATAGTATAAACTAACTATTTTTATTTGTATACACGTCTAGAAAATCGGTTTTTTATCATAAAGTTCGAAGCAACACTATTATTTAATATGTTGACAAGGTGAAGGGAAAGCACAAAATGAGTCAAAATATATACCAAAAGTAGAATCTTTCATGAAATTTTGTCTTATACACAACTACATTAATATATATTTTCTCAATTTTGGCAAGAAGCAGTCTTGTGTTTGTAAAATATACAAACACATATACAATTATAATTTATTAAATAAAACGGATACATATATTATTAGCCCGTACAGTACTGTACATAAAAACGTACATTGTTTACAAATGGTATATCCGTAATATTTGAACAATAATTTCAAAATCCTCATTCCCAATTCGCAAATATAGTTATTCAAAGCAAAACAGTAGATTGTCTTGCGAAGAAAAGAATTATTATTTTCATATTTTGTGCTTTCGCTTCACCTTGTCAACATAATAATAGTGTTGCTTCAAACTTTATGATAGACATTTTCTAGACGTGTATACAAATAAAAATAGTAAGTTTATACTATAAATGAGTTTATTTTACCTGTATCGGTTTAAATTCGCTGTTAAGTTGCAAATAATTCTGTTTGAGAACGCAACAATTGGGCATTTCGCAATCAGGGCAGTTTCAGGGCAGTTTTGCCCTTGTTGTTGGGAAATCCACTAGGCCTTCTATTTTTTCGCTTGCGTCAGGCTTGTGTCCTTCCTCCGCCCCGCCCCCAAATCACCTAGTCCCAGTCTTTTCATGTGAAAAAGCGCTGAATATTAAAAAAATATAAATAAAAATAGAAGGCCTAGGTCTAGGCTGGCTATCAACGACGATCGGAAATCTGACATCCACCATGCGAGCCGAAACCTATACTCGTCTGGGGCACAGTGCCCCAGCGAGTAAAAAGGAGGCCACAGCAGTACACCAATAAAGGAGACCACTGCGCCTATTAAAACACAAACAAAACAAAACAAAACAAAACAAAACAAAACAAAACAAAACAAAACAAAACAAAA